GATGGGATGGATGGGTGGATGGATGGGTGGATGGATGGATGACGTATGCACGGATGGATGGATGCATGGATGGATTAGACTGAATTTATTTATACAGCTTTTCATCCAGGCCCAGGACTTCATAAATGTCTATCCTCACTCCAAAAATTAACTTGAAAACATCATCGATAATCATTTCCCACTGTGCAGAGAAGGCAAAAAGTTCAGAAGTTAACATCACGAGTCTATGTTAAGGGGGTTTTGAATTCTAGTCCAGAGTTCTTTCTGCTACTCTACCCCGCTGGGGCTCCCTACCAAGGCTGCATTGAAGGAGTCACAATGGTATGCTTCTGAGTGCATCTTTCAGAGTCCTATCCTCCCCGGCTGCACTCCTTTTATTCATGTATGTGTACATCTGTGTGTAGGGGTGTGTGTGTGTGTGTGTGTACATACGCATGTGCACACACACAGTCATTTATTTCATTTGCAAAAGTAGATGAAGTTGGTAAAACAAATGGAGGGAGAAGAGGCATCCAGCCGCATGGAGGGAGAGGGTGGGATGCAGCCCACATGCAGAGAACACCATCAGAAAAGCACTATTTCCCAAAGGGGAGTGCTTGAGCTCCAAGCCACCCTGGCTTCCTGTAGTTGAGGCAGAGAGGCAAGGGCACACAGGAAAGGGGACGAATGTACAGGAAACACAAGAAATGTATACTCAGGAGAAAATGAGAGACTAAGGGAGAAACAAAGGCGCGAGAGCATCAGCTTGGGGGCCAGGCGATCAGGAGCGGCAGTGGATTGCTGAGCTTGCAGCCCTGGCAGCAAGGGCTGGGGCAGGGAAGGTCAGGGCCAGCTCCAGCAGGCCACTCTGCTCTTTCAGCGGCAGCAGCAGGCGCGGGATGAGCCATGGGCTCTGCTGAAGACACAGTTGGGGGGCGATAGAGCAAGCGACAGCAGGAGGACCAAAGTCAAAAGGTCGCTACTGCTGCAGGTGGTGCGAGCCCAGCTGCCCTTGGCCCTGCAAACCCCTGTGTCTGTAAGGCTGTTTTTCCATTACGCCTCTGCTCACATGCAGCTTGGGTCACCCTGCAGCTCTGCTAAAGGGGGAAAAAGTCAGCATTTCACTTCACTGGTGTCCAGACCTTCTCCTGGGGGAGCCACAGATTAGCCTCTTGGATTAAGCTCTCCTACCTGCCCCTCCCCTCCAAAAGCCTCACCAAGGGAGGATCACGAAGCTGAGACCTTAGGATGCTGCCGAGCTGTCACATCCAATTCAGCACACAGCCCCAGTGGCATTTAGGGGCAGGATGGATGGAAGCCACCCTCTACCCCCAAACAGTGGCAGCAGCTAATGACTGGGTATTAATGATGCCGGCAATTAGTGCTCACAAGAAAATAGTCGGGGGCTGCTCACCAGGGGAATGTGGGAGGGAGCAGAGCATACATTCGGGGCGGCAAGCAAGTCGGCGGCCTGTGTGGTGCAGAGAACCTGGGATGAGCAGCTGCCTCATCGGTTTGTCCAGAGAAATTAGGGACGGGGGAAAGGACGGTTTCTGCAGGCACTAAAGGCCTTTCTGCTGTACCCTCCCCACTAGCAAAACTGGGTTAATCACTGAGTTTTCGAGGAGGGCGCTGTGAGATGTCATTAAAAAGGTATTTGTGAGGGTTCTGGAAACCTCTTCATGTGGGGAGGCCCCGGATCCGCCTGGGAACACCTATTATTTTCTAGGAGATTTTAAACCCTTGGCCAGCCAAATGATCCTTTTTGAAGAACCCACTTTCTCATCAGCAGGGTGAGAAAGAGAAAAGGGTGAGGGGGAGTTGGAGTGCGTGCCGCGCACTGACAAGCCCACAGAGGTGAGAACAAGCCACCATGAGATTTCGCAGGCAGACATCTCCACATAGGGCGAGGGAGACACGCACAGCTTCCTTCCCAAGCAAGGCTGTGTGGCCTCAAGGGGAGGACACAAGAAGGCCAAACACCCCCGCCCACGAAGGAGCGTGAGGAGATCCACAGCCGAGTGCTGGTCTCAGAAGTCAGCCAACTCTGAGGGGATCACAGGGATCGCTGAGACTGACTCCTTCTACTTAGAGTCTGCAGCACACCTCCCCGTGCAGCCACAAACACCAGGCACGTGGACACATGCACACACACACACACATATGCACACGCACACACACACATGCACACGCACACACACGCATGCACACACGCAACACGCACAAATGCACGCACACATATGCACAAATGCGCACATCCACAAGCACACACGTGCACAAACAACACGTGCACACACACGCGCACACACAAGCAAACAGCACGCACACACGCACACAACACACACGCACACGTAAGCACACACACACACAACATGGACACACACGCACATATACGCAGACATGCACGCGCACACACAACACACATGCACACGCACGCGCGCACACACGTACACACGCACACATGCCCACACGTGCACACGTACACACAAATGTGCACACACACAAGCACACATGTGCACAAACAACACGTGCACACACATGCACACACACAAGCAAACAGCACGCACACACGTAACACGCGCACACATGCGCACACACGTACACACCCACACACACGCACACACATGCATAGACACACACACACCGCACTCATAATGAGGCTACAGGAGAACCAAGGAAAATGAGACACAGACAAGAAGCATTCCAAACCCCAGGGCATGAATAAAGGAACAAAATGGCCTGACATTTGAGAAGAGATATAAGGAGATAAGCTAGCACAGGAGAGTGAGAAATAAGGCCACCAAGCAAATAAACACTTGAGAGAGCGCAACAATGTCGAAGAAACGCTTTTCAGGGAGCAACCAAAATCAAAGAAGATTCTTCTCAGCCTCCTCGTGGTAGGAGACAACAGTTCCGTGTGACCTCTTGGTCACTTAGACCAGGGAAAAGAGGAGAGACAGGGAAATGCAAGTATCGGCTGCCTCAGTACAGGTCAGTATCTTTTCCTTTTTGAAAGACAAGGGTGACTGGACCAAGGAAAACTCTTCCCAGAGAGAAGGTCTTAGTGTTGGAGCTCCTCAGTCCCTGGCAAGGAGAGGCGGGCAAGGCTCGGGGGGGCGCCTCCTGCTCTGCTGTTCAGGTTCTGTCCAGGTGACCACAGCAGGTGAGAAAGCAAGGGTCTGTCGCACTAAAGGTTGCACCTTGGAAGTGAGCAAAAATTCAAGAAGGTGCTGAAGGCTGAATTGCATCCCCTCCCCACTCCCAAATTCCTATGTTGAAAGCGTAACCCATGGTACCTCAGACTGTGACTTGGTTTGGAGATAGGGTCCTTAAAGAGGCATTTAAAGAGATAAAGTTAAAATGGGCTTGTTAGGATAGACCCTAATATCCAATCTGACGTGGGTCGGGCACGGCGGCTCACGCCTATAATCCCAACCCTTTGGGAGGCTGAGGCGGGTGGATCACGAGGTCAAGAGATTGAGACCATCCTGGCCAACATGGTGAAACCCTGTCTGTATTAAAAATACAAAAATTAGCTAGGGGTAATGGTGCGTGCCTATCGTCCCAACTACTCGAGAGGCTGAGGCAGGAAAATTGCTTGAACCTGGAAGGCAGAGGTTGCAGTGGGCCAAGATCACACCACTGCACTCCAGCCTGGTAACAGAGAAAGACTCCATCTCAAAAAAAAAAAAAAAAAAAAAAAAGATGAGGAAACGTGGACATAAAAGCAGACGCCAGAGCACACATGCACAGAGGGACAACTGTGTGAGGGGACAGGAGAAGGCAGCATCTGCAAGCCAAGGAGAGGAAAACAACCCTGCCAGCACCGTGACCTTAGACCTCCAGCCTCCAGAACCGTGAGAAAATTAATTTCTGTGGTTTAAGTCACTCCGTCTCTGGGGTTTTCTTATAAGAACCCTAGCAAATCCATAAAGAAGGCAATGTTACAAGGGGAAAGTGGGGTGGAGGTTAAGGGAGACCCCACACTAATCCGAAGAATGACCTTGGCCACAGGTGTGTTCATTATTTCAAATGTTTGGTGGAAGTGGCCAGTGGACGTCAGTTGACTAAGTCGATGGCTAACACGCATCCTCTAATCTTAGATTCTGAGTACTTTTAAAGGTCTGATCCCTTTCCTTGCATTGAGTTGTTCACTTTCAGAATCCCTACCACCAAATCTTCTGAACAAAATTAAATACACATGGCCTGTCCATGAATATTCTTCACTGAGAGAGCTCAGTGTGGCCCGATCTTCGAGCAGGCTCTAAAGATTCCATTATCCCATTTCTATGTTGAGTTTCTGCAGGCCCAGAGACCACACGGGATATTGTAGAGGAAAGTCAAGTGGAAAATGCTAAGCCCTTTTGGATTCCCTAATTCATAATTGGAAGTTGAGGTAGGAAAGCACAGAAATGGAAACACAAATCTTCAGGATCACTTTGGGTCTGGAGAGCCCAACATCCCAAACAACAAATCCACCCAGATCACATTTGCCATTTGAATGCTGAAGCAAAGAACATGGGGTCTCCAGGCAGCGTTTCTAAGGTAGGAGAGCCCTGTACCAAAATGTGATCCCCTCCCCTCTACAACAAAACCACACCAATAGATAAGAATACTCTAAGGCTCTTAGTGGCCAAGCAGGCATTTCGAATGTCTGTCTGAACTGATACACCCATGACCTATGCCCAACCCAGTATGAGTGGCTCTTGAGGAGCTGAGGGAAAAGAGTTGTAGGTCTGGCATCTGACAGTGGCCAGGTAAGGACTTTCTCTTCTGCTTAACACCTTCCTTCCTCTGGGAGCAGAGCAGGGTGTGTGAGCCCAGCCCTGCTATTGTTGGGCTGAGCTGCAGGGGCAGCTGACTGGCTGGCTGAAAGGGCCAATGCACTACAGCACATTGAGACCACTCAAAGTTTGCTACCAGAAGATGCCAGCGCAGCAGTGAGAAAAAGGAACAAGGAACGCTCCCCAGCCTGCCTAACCCACTTCTTCACTGCCCCAACCTAACAAGTAGGCACTCACGCCTGTGGTTCTCATTTCTGTGGTTGGGTGGGGACCGAGTCTCCTGGTCTTGAGCTTCATCCCCCTCCTCGCTGGCCAGGTGGTGTGAGCATAGTGGTAGCTGAGCCCGGTCGGTTCTTGTAGCGCTTGCCACAGACTAGAGAGGAAAAGAGGAAAAAAGGGAGAAAGGCAAATATTAGCAACCTGTGCAGCCACCGCTATCATTCTCCCAGACAGTGACCCCATCCATCCACCCCAGAGCCAGGCTTCCCTTAAAACTGTCTCCCATCCTAACACCCCTTTCCCCCACCCAACAGAACCAACACCCTTATAACAACTCAGCTCATGGAAAGAAAAACTGTAAAAGTAAAACGAGGTTAAGAGCTGCGTGAGCACTCCACTGTTTCTAGCTGTGAGACCCAGGGCAAGTCACTTGACCTCCCTGTGCCTCAGTTTCTTCAGAGATAAAATGGGAATACTAACAGTACTTACCTCACAGGGTTATTGTGATAAGTTTATCTCTATGCAAAGTACTTAAAACAGTGTCAGGCATGTTGTAAGGGTAATTGTTATAACGTTGAATTCAAAGGACACTGGGAATCTACCCAATCCAACATCCCATGACACAGATGAGGCAAGTGAGACCCAGCAACGCCAAGTGACTTGCCCAGGAACACACAGCTAGTGTGGCAGAGCCACCAGAATCCATGTCTCCTGGGTTCCTGTGCACTGTCCCTTCCACCACCCCATGGTTGGCCTCTGCAAGAAATAGAAAAGTTTTATCTGGATAATACTTCTGATGTCTCACCCAGTGATTTTGTGCCAGAAACACATGCTCCACTTCCACCATGAACGCCATGGAGTTAAAGCATCCTTAGTGAGTGTAGTCACCAAGAGCTGGTGCTCCTGATGCCCTAGGGCAGCCAAATCTGTAAAATGTGCTCTCACAAGTACTACCTCTCAAATGGGGCAATTTGAGCCAAGGGCAGCGAGCAATCAAAATGTGCCTTCTTGGAGCCAAGAAGAAAGGGCAGCAGTTCTGTTGGTTAGATGCTCAGTTCCTGGGAAGCAGAAATCTGGCTAAATGGCTCAAGGTCACACTACCACCCTCAGCCTCCCCACGTACAGTTGATTATCTCAGCCCCCAGGGGGACGGCATTGCTGGTAGCAGAAACCTCGAAGAGTCTTCCCAGTGAAACGTCCATGCCAACCTTCTATGCTTGCCCCCCAGCCTGGGTCCCCATCACAGCCAACCAAACTGCTCTGCTGGAGTGCTTGAAAGTTACAAATTCTAAAAGACTTCTCCCTTGGGCTGACATGACCGAGTCATACAAGGAAGCATAAATGCTTCACAAGGTGGGAAGAGCACAACTTCAGCAGCAGGCCTGGGTTCAAATCCCAGTTCCAGCTGCTGAGGTTCACTGGCTGTGTGGTCCTGAGAGTATAGAGAAATGCTGTTATCCAGTCATCTTCTCCAATGATATTATTCTGATAATTATTACTTCTGATAGAGTTACTTCCGATATTACTTATTACTTCTGATAGAGTTTCTCTTCCTACCAGATTCTCTTGGAGTTTTTCAGTAGACAAACATTGGCCAAGATAATGTCATCTCTTCTTCCCCATATTTACAGAAACTGTTTGATCATAGCTTAGATCATTTGTAAGAACCACCAAAACAATATTTTTAAATGGCAAAAGCAAGCATTTCCAATGTTAACGAAGGCAGATCTAGTGTTTCACTGTTTAGAATGATGTATCTGGCTAATTTTTAGTCTTTACCACATTTAAGTAGTTCCTCTTATTCCTGTCATAGAGTTTTATTATAGGAGAATTCTAGCAACTACCCTTTCAGCATCTACTATAATATGACTCTCCTTTAGTTTGTTGATAAGGTAAATTACGTTGATTTCCTAATATTTCTTATTATTGAACCATTCTTGAATTCCTAGAATGCACTCCATTTGGTCAGAGTATATTGTTTATTTGATATACTGCTGCATTCTGTTTTCTAATATTGCATCTTGAATCTGTGCTAAGACTTGAGCTCGATCTATAATTTTGGGACTATCTTTTATTAGGTTTCAATTTTATGGTCATGTTGATTTCTAAAAATGAATTGAGTTTTGCTGCATGATTTGGACAAGCTATAGCTCTGTGCCTTTTCTTTTATCTGAAAATGAGGATAACAGTACTTACCTTGAAGGATGGGTAAAGGGATTATAAATAGCATTTGTAAAGCAGTTCTCTCAATACCCAGCATAATAGATGCTCAGTAAATGGTAAATGAGGGGCAAGGGCTGTCAGCATTTTTTGCTGCATCTTAAGTACTGGACCTTCCTGAAAAGAGGGACTTTGACCCTTGCCTCATATTATAAAGTCTGGCAATTGGTTGGACTTCCTTGATAAGACAAGAGGAGAGTCTGAAATTCAAGTTGGTGACCTAGTGACTATAAATTCAAGGCCCAATGTTTAGCTCCCACTTATAAGTGAGAACATACGGTATTTGATTTTCTATTTCTGCATTAATTCACTTAGGATAATGGTCTCCAGCTGCATCCATATTGCAAAGGACATGATTTTGTTCTTTTTTATGGCTGTGTAATATTCCATGGAATATACTAAACACTGGGTACACACAGACATGAAGATGGAAATGACAGACACTGGGGGCTCCAAAAGAGGGAAGGGAAGGGAAGGAAGGGGACAAGGCTGGAAAAACTACCGGTTGGGTACTATGTTCAGAATTTGGGTGACAGGTTTAATAGAAGCCCAAACCTTAGCATTATGTAATATATGCATGTAACAAACCTGAATCTAAAAAAATAAAAAATTAAAATAAATAGGCCTATCATTGGCTACTTATATTCATATATTCTCTCTTCCACTCTCTCATAAATATTGTAAAAAAACAAAATTAAAATAAAATAAAAGAGTACTATGCATCTCAATTCCATGTGACTCAGGAAGCCGGACCCAAAGAGGCCCCTGAGGTGCACTGTGGATCTGCTCGTGGCTTTTTCTATTTAGCTTTTTGGATAATCTGAAGTTAATACACAGCAAATTATGGGGTCATTGCATATAAATCCATTTAGTCGCCAAGCATACTGTTAGTAAGGAATAAATGTTTACTAAAAGTAATGATAATGATATCAGTATTTACACAAAGAGGCCTCAGCCGCCTCTGCAGATCCCCAGTATAAACTCACAGCATTTCACTTGTGCCATTTTGTTATGTCAATCATCACTGTTGCTTAATCACACAATTTCAGGATCTTAATGGTCATTCGATCTATCTAGAGAAGTGTTTTATTCCCACCAACTCTAGAAGGCCTGTTCTGGACAACTCCATTGATAGGGAACTCACTACCATTCAGAGCAGGCGTTTCTCCTTTAGACTCCCTGAATTACGGCTATGTCTGCACTGAAGGACCTCTCTTAAGGACAATTTCATATCAATTTCATCTTGATATCAACAACTCCACCTCATATGTTGACATATACATACTACACATTAAAACATATTTGTTGAGTGGCTCATGAATGAATACAGAACCACTTTGTGGGAAGGCCAGGAGATGGGGGAAGAGGCAAGCTTGTAGAATCTAATACTTCTACCCACATTAAGCTCAGACTAATTGTTCTTAAAAATCTACAAAACCAAACCTAAGCAAAAATATCCTTCCCCAACATGGTAGAAAGTAATAATGTTTAGAGCAAATCCTTTTGCTAGAACAGAGATTCTCAGACAGTGGTCCCCAGACCAGCACCATCTACACCTCCTGGCAACCTGTTAGAGATGCAAACTCTTGGGCTCCACCCCAGACCGACTGAATCAGAAACTCTGGGGGTGGGGCCCAGTGATCTAGATTTTTAAAAGCCCTCTAGGTGATTCTGATGCACACTAAAGTTTGAGAACACTGGGCTAGAAGGCTGGGTCTATTTAGGCTTGACTCCACCCACCCTACGTCCCCATGCCCTTCTTGATGGATGACCATGGCAGGCAGGGGCAGGACAGGCAGCCTTGAGACCTTCGTTCAGTTATTAACAGAATCAGGACCCAACAGTACATGGAGGTCCCAGAAGCCAGACTTCTTCACGAAGAACCCTCTGGTTGGAGCTCCATTTTTAACCAGGTATTTGTACCATGTCATTCTTCCATCACCAGGTCTTCAATTCAAGAAATATTTATTAGTCACCTAATATGTGTCCCACCCTCTGCCACAAGAAGGACAAAAATGAACAAGCCCCAGACCCCTCCATGGAGGAGGTCGCAGTCTAGCCGCGATCTGCATATAAACAAGCCAGAGGGAGGTGGGTTGAATACAGTGAGTCCGTGCCAGGCAAAGAGGGACATCAAAGAGGGGCCAGGAAACTGGCTTGAGCGAGTGGGGTACGGCTTCCCAGAGTAGGAGCCCCTGACATGAGCAGGACTTCAGCAGACAAAGGGGGCCCAAAGCACATGCAGTCATCACCTCTGCAAGCTGCGAGAAGTCTAACCAAGTTGAAGAGGTGGAGCGGTGGGGGTGGATGTGAGGAAGACTAACAGGAGAGGAAGCTGAGCAGGGCTTTATCCCGACGATGGGGCAGCCAGGGTAGGATTCTATCCTGAGGACCAACTTAAGCAGATTGACATGTTAGAAATACTGCTTAAGATTGTAGGGCAGAATACGGATTTGAAGGTGGCGAGGGGCTATTTCAATTGTTTATCTGTGAAACAATGAGGACTTGTGCATGGAGAGGCAAAATGGGGTGGGAGAAGGCTTAACGAGAGAACCTGGTGGAAGAGGGAGTGAGTAAGAAAGCAAAGAGGAACCCAGAAAGACTAACATGGCCTTCCTGGCCATGCCCCACCCAGCCCCATCCACCTCTCCAGCCTCTTCTGACACCATATTCTGCCTCCTGTGCGGCCCTCCTGCTTGTTGGCCTTTTCACTTATTATAGATTTCTCTTCCCACCACAGAGTCTTCGCACAAGCTCTTTCCTCTGCCTAGACTGTCCCCATCCCCAATTTGCCTGATTAAGGTCTAATCATCCCTCTGATCTCAGCTCAAAAGTCCTCCCCCAGGGAAGTCTTTCCAATCAAAATTACAACCTTAGTTTTTTGCCTTCCTAGGACTAATCACGTGTCAGTACAGACAATCCACAATTTACAAT